AGCGCACTGAGCTGCTGGTGGCGCTAGCTTGGGTAGTTCCCTTCACGGGCATCGGCAAACTTGGTGGAGAAAGTCCTTCGTGAGCTGCAGCTTGCTGGACCTTCGCCGACTGGGTGCGCATGGTATTCCCTGGGCTCGCCATGTAAGTCAGATAGAAAATGTTTCTTAAGTTGGAATGTGTTTGCGGAAGCGATGGAGTGCTTGACTCCGAGGTCGTTTGACCGGTTGGTCTCAGATACCAAAATTGTAACAAAGCTTGCAGTTGGCAAGCAGTTGCGAAAAAGGAAATTATCCAACGATAAAAGGTGGTATTGATAAATACCGTTTGGTATTGGAAGATTATGAATAGTTCTTGGATGTACCGTTGGTACGATACCGTTGGCCCGGTGAGCCAAGGGCCGCCTTAGCGGCGTTACAGGACCCATATCGCGTGCACATGGTTGTGTTGCATCCATTTTGCATGCCTGACCCTGCTGGCAGAGGTCGGTGACCCCCAAGTCGGTGACCGAAAACAGAGTCCCAGTAGACATTTTAGAGAATTTTTTACTTTGCCCTACAGAGGAAATTGAGGTACCCCGTAGTGATCCAAATGGTTTTGATTCCGTGCGAAGCACGGCTTCCAGGGCCCCAGTGCAGCCACCCGAAGTTGTTTTTGCAAAAACTCGAAAGATATTTTAGCGTCAATCTAAATGGTTTCGGGTGGAAGGCGGCCGGTAACCAGGGAACGAGCCGAAACGGAAACCTGCGTAAACGGAAACCTGCGTAAATAGGTTTCGTCACGCTTTCCGCAGCGAAGCCCAGATTGGCGGAAATGCGGAAAGAGAATCCGCATTTCCGCATTTGCTGTACGGCGGAAATTCAAAAGCAGATTCCAGGCATGCGTTTGCCATTTAAAGACTGCGTTTTACACTAAGGAGTTATTAGATTAAGTCAAATGTCAACAACCACTGGCTCCGACCTGGGGGGTGCCGAAGTCATAGAGATTGACTGTGTTTCTGCTCAGAAGAAGGGTGGAAGGCCAGTTGAGGACGTTTTGAAACATTTTGATAGAGGTCCTTACGACAAAAGCAAGAATTGCTATGCCACCTGCAAGGGCTGCCGTCGCCACTGGAAACGGGCGCGCCTTCCTGAAATCCGGTTACACCTTGCCAAGGAGTGCACTGCCATTGCGCCTGAGGTCAGCGCGTTTTACAAGGCCTTGTTAGCTAAGGATGCTGCTGCATCCTCTTCTGAGGTCGTCACGGCCAAGCGGGCCTGCTCAGGCCTGGGGTCTCAGGGTTCAAAGAGAGGCGGGCTGCTTTAAGGGGGCAGGGTGAACACCGTCAAGGGTGTGGGCACACAATAGTTGATCGCTTGGCCCCCGCCACCCACAGTAATACGTTTAGATGGCTCTACCTTCGAGCACGATTGGAATCAACCAGATTCTAGATCCCACCGGACAGAACCGCACTGCCACAAGCTGGTTTCAGACTGTCCAAGTTATCGCCACACTGAGAAGAGCTAAAAAACATCGTTACATATTCATTTTATAGTTTTCGCAGCTTTCCGCAGTTTCCGCAGCCTTTCCGCAAAGGGCCTCCCGATTACGAAAAGTTTACGCAGACCTGCCCTACCACATAGACTTGCCCGGTTATCGGGCAATTGTGGCCGTTAATGGGGTACGCGGAGACCGGTTACCAGGTGGATGGTTACCGGGGGTCGTTAATGGGGGTGGTTACGATTGGGTTACCAGGTTGATCGTTACTG